CCCACAAATTCAACTTCTTCACATCCTGCAAAACGAGTTCCTCGTTTTCCATCCCCTGCTATAATCTCCGAGTTTTCAATGTAAATTCTTCAGGTTGTCACTCTCCGATCTTAGAAGACGAAGCATCCACCACTTTGCCAGTCATTGAATTGGACCTGAAGTTTCCAGATCCCCAAGAAGAATTTTCAACCCCGGGTGCTGATAACTTGAACGATTTTGTATGTGGGTTGTTTCAAGATCGTCAGACTGAAGAATTTGCCTATGAACAGTATGAGAAAGCGAAAAAGAAGAGGCCAGAATTCATACCAAACAAATCAACATTTGATCATCTAATAAGGTATTTGATACGTTCCAAGAAATGGGGTTCAATGCTTTCAGTTTGTGATGATTTTAAGAATTACCATGTACTGCCTGATAGTTATACTTGCTCTAGGCTGATCGCTAGCTGCATTAGAGCTAGAAAATTCAAAATGGTTAGGACTTTGCTTGAAGTATTTAAGGCTGATGATGATGTTGCTGTCCCGGCCTTTGATTCGGCAATGAGAGGCTATAATGAGCTTCATATGTTCAAAAGTACAATTTCTCTGTTTGAACGAATGAAATCTAATGGAATTGTTCCAAATTCTGGATGTTATTGCCGGATCATGGAAGCTTATTTCAAGAAAGGCGACAGTAGAAAAGTTGTTGAATTGTTTCATGAATTAGGAAGTAGGCAATTGGATTTGACCCCATTTTCAACTCAAATATACGGAATTCTATGTGAGTCACTGACCAAATTGGGACAGCCTTTTGAAGCTCTGGAAGTTTTTAGAAGTAGGACAAAGGAAGGAATTTCTTTAGACTCTTCAAAGATCTACTCTGTGTTGATTAGCTCATTCGCGAGCATCCGAGAAGTGGAGGTGGCTGAAGAGCTTTTTGAGGAAGCGGAGACCAAGAAAATGTTGAGGGATCCGTCTGTATTTTTAGGACTTATATCAATGTATGTGGAAACAGGGTTGACACAGAAAACTCTTGGAGTAGTTAAGGCGATGAAGGGTGCAAATATCAGAGTTTCGGACAATATATGCTGCGCAGTTGTTAGTGGCTTCTCCAGGAAAAACAGGTTGCTGACTGCGGTAAAAGTTTTCAAAGATTTGGTGCTAATGGGATGTGAGCCAGGACAAGTGACATACGCGTCGATTATCAATGTATATTGTCGTCTGGGGCTTCACTCCAAGGCTGAAATGGTTTTTAGAGAGATGGAGGAAAAGGGGTTTGATAAATGTGTAGTGGCTTATTCTAGCATGGTTGTAATGTATGGGAAAACAGGAAGGCCAAGAGATGCAATGAGA